CTTCAGGATCAAAAGGTATTTTATTAGTCTTTACGTGTTTTTTTGCTTCTTTCCTTTTTTTTTTAAAAAAAATTCTAAAGTTTTTCGATTTTTTAATTTTAGATTTTAAATCTGATAAATGAGGACTTATTCGAACCCTTGTACAAAATTCATTATTTATTTATTATGTAAAAAAAAAAATTATTTGTATTATAATCATAATGTATTTATATGAAAATAAAAATTAAATATTAATAATTCTCTCGTGGACATGCTTAATTTCCCAATTGTTTTTACGACGTACGAAATCTTGTAAACTGGCCTTTTTAAAAAAATAGAACTTGGATATGCTGCACTTTTTTTTTTTTTTAAAAAAAAAAAAAAGAAAACTTCAATCGCGCCCTTCCAAGTTTACTCAAAGAACTTATTATTTCAGAGACGTCAATTTTTGCATTTTGCAAATAAACCGCGGCCAAATCGGCCGACGGCCAAAAAATTAGGCTTGGCCGCGGCCCAGCTATGCATTAAAGTAGTCACGAACTAAAAGAACATTTGGGACCTTTGCAATAGAAAAAGGGAAACGGTTGGAAAAAATAAAAAATGAGTTAATGCTAAATCTGACCTAAAATTTATATTTGACATATAAAGTAAAATTGATTTTTTCCGGTACTTTCTATTGCAAAGGTCCCATTTGTACAAATATATATATATATATATATCAACTACAAGTCAAATTCGGTTAGGTTTTTAAAAAAAACGAAAGATTGTCATCGATCTTTTTAATATTTTTATTAGACTGGACCAATGGTTTTTCGGTCTTGACTCCTTCAGGATATTAAAAGTAAATTAAATAATTCATTTTTTTTTTCTAATTCTCATTGATAATGGTGTTGTTTCAAGGTCAATCGGTTGATAATCTTTCAACTGGCAAAATATCGATAATGAACGTTCGCGACTCCAATATTTTTACATTTTTTTTAGTACGATTAAATTAATTATATTTGTCGACCAAAATATTTTCTTTAAAAGAGCAAAATCGTCGCAACCACTTGTACGTAGGGATCCGGTCTTTAGCGGGAACCGAAAGACTACGTGTTGGCCAGTAAAATCATTTTCCAATTATCGTCCGCTCACTCACAAATTGAGTCGATACGTGACGGATGAGTCGATCCATGATTGGTTCCTTAGGCAAATTATAGTCCGACCTCTGAATTCTACTTGTACGTAGATAATTGGTCAATTGGAAATTCTTTTTCTTAATAAATAACCCTCTTTTTTTTTTATAAAGGCGATTGAACTTTTTTTAAACTTGAAACCTTTTTTGATATAGAAATTAATTGTTTTTGAACGAATATCATGCTTTCTTCTGCTGAACAAGAAAACATTAATAATGATAATACTAAAAAGTATATTAAGCGACCACAAAAACCTGATGAAGAAAGTTATAAATTGGCTTTAGAAGAAGTTAAGAATAAAATTGATAAATTACAAGAAGAATCTGTGAGTTTTATATAAACCTTTAAAAAAAGAAAAAAATTTTTTTCATTTATTCTCTCTTTGAACAATTAAACTATTTCTGCTTTAAAGAAATATATATATACACATACGCCCTTATGATGACAATTTTTTTAAAGTCGCAATTTTTATATGTATTTCTTATGTCCTAAATAAACTTTTAGGATGCCATAAATGCTAAAATTGGTGCTTCTGATAATGGTCCTGCTGGAAGTAACCGTGAAGAACTTCGAGGTCAATTAGATAGACTTCGTGGTAAACAAGATGAAATTAAGAAAAGTAGATCAAGCACAATTGAAAAAATCAGATCTCTAGGTGATTCCATACAAAGAAAGGTACACACGCATATTATTATTAAAGGAAAAAAAAACTTTTATTTTTCCCAAGGAATTCAACTGACAATTTTGTATTATTTTTTTTTTTTATAGAAACGCGACTTGAAACAAGTTCGAGATAAAGTTCAATATAGAACTGTAAAAGATATTGATATTGCAATTTCGTAAGTAGATATATATTTTTTTTAAAATATATATATATATATATATATATATATATATATATATAAAATATTTATTTATTTTAAACATTTATAGCAAACTGGAAAGATTAATTGAATCTGGTACTTTAAAAATTATTGAAGAAAAAAGAACTATTGCAGAGATATCAAATTTAGAAAGATCTAAAAAATCTGTAAAACAATTTGAAATTCAACAAAATGCAATTGATGAGGAACAAAAAGCAATTGATGAATTAAAGAAAACTCTTGAAGATAGTGATTTTAAAAAAATAAATGAGGAATATGATGATATTAAAGCAAAACTTGATGTAATTAATAAAGATTTAGCTTCAGATAGAGAAAAACGTAATGAATTATTTGATCAAAAAAAAAAAATCCGTGAACAAATTAATGAACTATTTGCAAATAGACGTGAGATTCAAGATCAACATAGTAAAGCTAAATCTGAATATTGGAAATATCAGGAGGATGAACAAAAACGTCGTCAAGAATTAAGAAGGAAATTGGATGAAGAACGCGAAAAACAATACAAGCAAGATGTTGCCGATAGAAAACGTGAAGAAGCTGCTATTCCTGCTTTTCAATCAGATATCGTTACTTGTGACAATTTAATTTATTACTTTCAATCTTATAATGGAGGAAAATCACCTCAACCTCAACCGCATACTCCTTCTACTACACCAGTTGATAGTAATATTCGTCAACCCGATGCTACTAGTAATGTTCCTGAAGGTGCTGTTCTTATGAAAAAATCCGATAGAGAAGATGCTTATTTTGCCGGCGGTAGCAAAAAACATAAAAAATCTCCAAAGGAAAAGAAGGCCGGTAAAAGTAATTCTCTTCAACTTCCTTTTAGTGTTATGGATCAGTTAATTTCTTTCAAGATTGCTACACCTCATAATTTTTCTGATATAGAGCAAACTATTGAAGGTTTAATTAAAAAGAAAGAGTATTTCATTGAAAATCAAGAGCGTATTACTAGAGAAAATATCGAAAAAGTTGAGGCTGAAATAGCTGCTATGGAAGAAAAAGGTTTTGGCTATAAGAAAAAGGGTAATAAATACAATCATCAAGATAATGATAATGAAGTGAAAGATAAATCCAATGATAAAAATGAAAATGATTCTGCTACAGTTACTACTAGTGAAGAAGAAAAAGTTAAAAAGACTACTGTTATCATTTCCGAAGATGATGAGAAAAAAAATGAAATTACTGCTGCAGTTGGAGACACTAAAAAGGAAAAAACTGAAGACAACTAATTATTGTCTGAACTATAAAATATTGAACAATTAGACTTATTTATTTATTTATTAGATACTGTTTTTAGTTTTGTATTAAAAAAAGGGGGTATAGATGTTTAACTAAGTAATTTTGTAATATTGTATCAGAATGATAATTTTTATTTTATTTTATTAAAAACAAGAAAGATCGTTGAAATAAATTTCTTTATAGGCCTTAAAAAATCAACATTAATATATATAATATAGTTAAATAATAATAAATGATTCTATTAAAAAACCAAACCAAACAGAATTAATAATCTACCATTTGTTAATACTAAATGGTTGCATTTAAAGTGTCATATTAATGTGTGACTGCAATAAAATTGCCTTCTGCATCTCTTTCAGATAACACTGCTTTCAAATCACTCAATCTAGCTTGTAATTTTGGTACTTCAATAAGTTTTTGTTCCAAATGTTGTTTCTCCTCTTGAAGCTTTAATCGACGTTCTGCATCTAATTTGGTAAATACATATCCCCCTTGTCCATCATACTAAAAAAATGTATATATATATTATAATTATTATCATGATTAAATAAAGCAATAACTTTAAAAGCTTACTTGTAAGATGAAATTATGATATTTCCATAACGATGGCCGATGAGATACAGTCAACAAAGAAATTCCCAAGTCTTTTTGATGCAATGTGGTTAAGTTTAATTTATCTTTAAACGTTTTAAGTGATGATAATAATAACAACATTTAATTACCTGTGGCATGTGTGTACATAATTTTTTCAATATCCAAGCCTACAGCACTAGTACCTACAAATGTCAAATAAAATGAATGAATCAATCGATCAAATATGAACAACATATATTCGAAAACCAATCTTACATTCATCCAAAATTGCATATTTCGGTCGATGGTAAAACAATCTTGCCATAGCAATCTGTAACAATAAAAAATCCATCATATTTATAAGTAATTTTCGTATTAGATCTTTATAATTTATCTAAATTGCATGACACTAACTCTTTGTTTATCTCCTCCTGATAAAGCATCTTTCCATTCACGTTCCTTATCCCAACCTCCTTCGCGCTCAACAATGGTATTTAGTTGAACAATGTTAAGGATTTCTTGTAAACTCTGATCATTTATACCTCCTATGTAGGAGAAGAAAGTTTTTAGTTTAGGACACACCAATATTTGTTGGAAAAAAAATTGGATATTATTTAAAACTAGTTTTACACTTACGCTTTGTCATTTCAGAAACGGTATGTGGATAAATAATTCTAAAGAATTTTGCTAGTTATTCAATTGTTTTTAAATATAAATATCATAATCATACACTCGATTTACACTTACTGGTCACGCAACGTGCCCAGTGATAAGTAAGGACGTTGGGGAATATAAAAAATATCTCTTGGATTTGGTCGATGAACAGTACCACCTAAAAGAAATTTCAATATTTGTAATTAAAGTTAGACAGTATTGGGAATTGTCAAGTATATGCTAGGTATATATACTTACCGTAAACAGGCCAGAGGCCACCTAAAATTCTAAATAAACTACTTTTGCCGCATCCATTGGGTCCAACAATCAACAAGTGCATGCCTGGTCTCACATAGAAATTCAATTTTTTTAATAAAACATCCCCGTTCGGGGATACTATAGGCACATCAATGAATTCTATAGTTGCTGCATCTTCAATGACTTCTCCACGACCCGATAATACTGCGGCGTTTTCATCAGTTGAAGCTGAAGAAACAAGTTGTTTTTCATAACGACCTGCTTTTACGGCATCAAAGGTATCCAAAAGTTCAGATACCTTTTTAGATAATAAAATGGAGGTAAATATGGTGTTCGAAAATTAAATGAGATTTTTTTTTTTAAAAAAAATAATAATCATAATAATAATAATAATAATAAAATTACTCGGGCAGTGTAGCCAGCCAACTCGGTAATTTCCTTATAAGAATACATTATGCGTCCGAAAGCATCTGAAGAGCTTAACAATAATCTGCGGTTGGTGATAAATCCTAAACAATAATGTTTTAATTGTAATTAAAAATATATCTCTAAATGAGAAGAATTGTTAACAGTATCATACCTTCTGCACGAGAACCAAGATCGCCTTTATTTACTCCCGGCACAGTAAAGAACACAGGAACAGAGCAAAGGATTAAACCCAAAACACCACACAAATATTTAATGATAAAATCCTCCATCATACCGTGGAAAACGCGCACGGAAGATTCTATTAACATGTTTGATCAATGCAAAATAATTGCGATCTAAAATAGCCTTTTCAACTTCATGACCAGAATAAAGCGCAATTTCTTCTGCATTTTCAATTAAGCGTGAATGCGTAAATCTAAATTCACCCTAATTTATAATTAAAAATATTAGCGATATGAATATTATTACCTAACAAAATAAAATAACGATAATTACCTCGAGCCTCTGTTCTTCAGCGACCATCTTTCCAAACGGTGGTGTTAATGCTCGCAGTATTACGGATGATATATGAACCATTAATGATAATGCAAATAATCCCTCTCCTCCAACGTTCTTTGCCAATTGTATATTATAAATGAAAACATCCAAAATTGGTTTGGCAAGATTGGAATATAATTCGGAAAGAGAGTTGCAAAATTTCATTGTATCAACCGTAATACACCTTAAATAATCAGAAAAAATTATGAAATGATTCAAAATGTATGCCTTTTTTTTAAAAAAAAAACAAATTGAAATATAACTTACTGGTCAGCATTTTTTATACGATCATCTAAATTTCCAATGGCATAAAAAGTCATATCGGACAAATATTTTTGATGAATATGTCGAGTAAGACGAGTTCGGAACTGTATAGCCAATTTACTTTGCATGTATGTAAGCTAATATTTAAAAAAATCAATTATAAATCTATAAAATGATAAAATAATAATAAAACAAAAGAATATTCGTTCATTTCGATGAACCGTTGGTTACCATGCTGTTTGTATATGTTGCCGGTATTGCAACAATCATCCACCACACAATACCCGTTAAAAAGTCCTTTGCATTACCTCGCACCTAAAAATAATGAATGCTTCATAAACATATTATCATCAATAATTAAATTTGGCAAATCAAACGGTATCTTACCAAGGCACTAACGATCCTTCCATCTAATGCAGCGACATAAACTGACAATATAGTCCGGAAGACTGAATATATATAATATATAAATTAGTATCTAACTTCAAAAAAGACGGAAACTATAATGATATATGATTTAACTACCCAAAAACCCCGAATGAACAATCAATAACCATAATTCTTTTGACCTTAACCCGGGAATAACAATTTTAAGTATTTTTTTTAATCTCTCAAAAAATATAGTATCCACCTTAAATATATTATTAATTTATCATCAGTACGCAAGATAAAAATAAGTCAAATTTGCATGATTAAGCATCAATTTTTAAAATTGCCACCTCAACTCTTTTTTTCTTTCTTGCTGTTTCCTCTGTGGTAGGTATCCCTGCGGGTCTTTTTTTGGAGCCACCAATTTTTCGAAGGTAAAGTAGGTAGACAGATACAAACCATATTGTTCTACCAAGTAATGTTCTATTGTTTTTATATACTTTTAAAACATGTTCAATTAACTTTCGTATTTGTGCAACATTAACCTTAGACGAAGCGTAAGGCGATGTAAAATAATCGGCAAGTTTGGATAAAACAGTAGGCATTTTCAAAAGGAAGTCGAAATACAGGAAAAATCAAAAGAAAATCTAGCTAATATCAATTGATAATCTATTTGATTGATCTATTGATCTTTTTGTAGCACAAATAAATGATGACTAAAATTTAGATTAGAAAAAGTTATCCGTAATGGAAGTTTCTGTTCAGACTTTCAGATCACGAGAAGCAACTTAAGAAACTGATAAATAGAGGTGACGTGAAATTAATTTTAAATCCTTGTTTTTGATAAAATTATTTAATGTTTTAAAGTAACCCTAAACTCTGACTCCAACTTTAAATTCAATCATTACCGCTTCCTAATCTTAACCCTAACCCTAACCTAGCACAAACTTTATACTTAATTAATTTAATCTTTAATTATAAACTTTAAAAAGAAAAAAAAAAAAAAACTCTTTCTCCTTTCACCCCAAAATTTTAGAAATTTACTGAGAAAATAAAATTGTTTTGCTAAAAAACTTTATTTAAAAATTTACAACTCTGTTAGCTAGTTCTTTAGCTCACTTTTTATAAACAGTTTAATACACTGAAAGAGTTTATTTATTCAATAATTTCTACAAAATGGTTAAAAAATCTTCAAAAACTTCTGTCAACAAAACTAACAAAGGTCGCTATGAATTTCTCAAAAATAAGCAATCTGAAGCTAGCGGCTCTTCTCGCTCTGGAGAAAGGCCCAACCCACTGTTTTAATCTACTTATTTATGATTGGCTGGTAATAATTGATTACGCATATCTAAGATACGTTTTAATTAGGAACTTTTCCCAAACAAATTATGAACCATTCTTGGTCACTGACAAGGATATTGTCGATGATATTTACATCAGACAGCCTACCCCACCATCCAACGTTATCGACACTCAGAAATTTGTCCCTATCGAAGATAATACAAATATGGATACTGAAAACCCTGAATTTATTATCATTGCTCGTCCTTCTCCCTTTGCTTGCGCTGCTTCCATTAACAAAAATGCTAAAGAACTCTCCATCCCCAAATTATCCACGTGATCAACAATTTGTTTACGCATGATGATGCATTCAGAGGGCTGAATGTACGTCGTGTAAATTTTGTACACTCTGCAGTTATCTATTTTGATAATGCAGAATCTATGTAAGCTGCACTTCCTACCTAACTTCCTGAATTGGGCATTGAAAAATTTGTGGACTACACTACGCATAAGGATAACACACAATTTCAAAACAGAACTTTGCGTGTTACTAATATTCACTTTAACCTGAAGAAAGAAACGATTACCTCAATCTTTTCTAAATATAGCACCATTATGAACATCCGCATGCAGACTAGGGACCTATGATAACATGCATTTATCACCTATAATAATCCAGATGCAATTAAATTGTTTTATATAATATGGTCCTGTTATATTTATAATGATTGTGTTCGCATATATCCTGCATGCTTTTCTCCAAAACAAGTCAAAGAGAGGAATGAATTCAAGGTTAAATTAGCTAACCTCCCTTTGGAACTTCCACTCGTGACCTCTAAGATATTATGCTTGCTGTTAAAGCAAAATCTTGTTATATTCCCTGCTCAAATAATTATAAATCTAGACCATTTGCCATTCTTTATTTCAAATCGGCTGATGCTTTAAAGAAAGCCATCACCAATGATTAATTCCCAGCATAACACTTTAGAAAGAAGAGTAAAAAGATTAGAAAAAGATGTAAAGTCCTTAGAGACTGAATTAGAAGATCTTGACGAATGTGTAGATAGGGAGACTCTGGTCGACTTAATACAAAAAATAGTTCCCTTGCTGATTGATAAAAAAGGTAAGGCTTTGTCTGAGTCTTCTGAGTATTCTGATTCAGATGAGATAATTGAGGGGTCCCATTGGTATCAGGTAAGAGAAAAAAAGGATGTTCCTTATAAGCAACAAAGGTAGGTATGACCGAGAAAGGTTAAGCGGATGGTAGTTTAAAGTGAGCCAGAGGAGTTCAAAGAATCAGGCACTTTGTATGATCACTTGATTATCTTACTAAGCGTTGAATAGAGATTTATTTTGAATATTATATATACCATAATAAAATAATTGTTGTAAATTGCGCAGTTGAAAAAAATATCCCTATTAGAGCAGTAATTGATTCAGGCGCTGATATATAGACAAAGGAGGTAGATCTTGAATGGTTCAAAAGAAAGACTCTTTTTGATTTTCGTATTATGTCATTAGTTCAAGACGAAAATACAGTCAAGGATTTTTATT